GGCTACCTAAACTGACACTTTATAGGCTCTCTCTCACACATACACACACACACACACACACACACACACACACACACACACACACACACACAACAATGAAATAAATAAATAAACAAGCAAGTGAAAATAAATAATAAATAATAGTAGTCATATTTATGTTAAAGGTTTTAACTGAGCCAGTCACACAAGAGATTTTTAACAGGTCAAAGAGAAAGCTAGTCAGTTGAAATACAAATATAAGCTAGAAAGGTCAAGGTGGCGCAAGTCAACATTCATTTGCTCAATTTCAAGAATTTTCAAAAGCAGGTGAGTTAGCTTGCGTTTAAAATGTAATAGAGATCTAAAATCGCTTTTTAACAAAAAGGCTTCATGCAAAGAAAAATTTTAAGTGAGCCATAGGTATTTTACGTTCTAATCCCTTATATACTTACAGGCTTCTTCTATTCTTCTATTTTCTAGTAGCCTTGAATAGCTCTTTTCAAAAGATCGATCGCAGACGATCGCAGACGATCGCACGATCGCTGAAACCACTCAACCGAAGATCGCGAATAGCATGTACACATACGATCGCAGCCGATCGCGGCAATCTGTGACAACCGAGTCCATGGTTTACCATTCAGCGGCAATACAACTCCAGTCAACCAACATAAACGCAAAGGACGCTGAACTTTTAATAGGTGTTAACATTCTGCTTCTGTTGTCTTTACTTAAACGGAGAATCGCTGCCAGATCAAAGGGGAAACGTCGCTTCTTGGTGCAGAAAGTTTTAAGAAAGAGAGAATTCCTTGCTAAAGCGATTGAACAAACAATCGTATTTTCTAATTTCTTCCATAAACTGTTCCGTGTCAATTTCACCTTCCATCTTGTCAAAACACACGCACGAGTAAAAGTTGATAAACAACTGGTTGTCATGGTATCATGCCACTTGCATAGCATTATTGGACACATTCCAATCATACTTACACCATCAATTACTCTTTACTAATCAAATATGAGACTTATCTTTATTTAACGAACATTTTTATCAAATTAGTCCAGGTTTGTTAACACTCAGCTTTTTGTTATTTCTTTAGCTTATAGTTGCGAAGATGCGCAGGGAAATACATACACGGTGAAGCCATTCAACAGCAGTGACAAACTTTTGAATTTGGAAGAGGTAGTTTCTTCACCTATGCCATTAATCCAATTAGAATGTTTGGAAAAAAATCACTCTGTGATTTGGGATATTTCCTCGAAAATGATGTTATATATTTAAGTGTTCATACAGTTTTATTTCAATTGTTTTGACAGACAACTATAAGCAAACGATTCTTAGAAACTGTTGTTGTGGCGAGACAAGAGAGTCTAAAGCGATACATTTCATCAAAGCTTGAGGACCTGAGGTTCCAAATGAAGGAAGGGCAACTGGCTTGCGAAAATGTTGATACAGCAAATGGAATTAAAAATGCCTCCAAGGAAAAAATAGAGCCGATAAGCAGTTCATTGAATGAGGAAGTGGATCCACCAAACGATGAAAGCGTGGAAAAATTGCTACAAACATGCAAAAAAACATCGCAACTATTTTCAGAAGATGTTTGAGGTCTTATCAACTTGACTGCCGGAGTTGCGCAACAAAGTGAAGATAGCGTAAATTGTATTTAACAACTTTTGGACTATGTTAGGGACCTCCGGCGAGAAGAAATAGCACTTTTCTTGAAAATTGAATCGGTTTATACTCAGAACCAACTCTCGGGCGAGAAGCACGCGGATCGGACTGAAGAATTTCAAAAATGGAAAACGCAACATGAGGTGCAATTCAAGGAAGTTGAAAAGCTTCTGTCAGGACTGCTGAATGCTGAATGGAAAATGGAGAGAGGGCTGAGTGATAAAAAGAGGCCGGTAATTTCAATGGAGTAACATTTCGTCACGTTAGTTACTTAATATTAGTGCAATTTGTAACTGAATTTTGAAAAACTCAGTGGCGGAAAATCACGAAACGGTTGAATTAGAGTGGAGAGATAGACCTGGTTTGGCCTTGGTAAGAGATGAAACTTTGTACAACCAACCGGTAAGGGCCTTAGTGGCTCATAATTGTTGCTTATTAAGTTCCTAATCGCATTCTGCTTCAGGTTTGTCTCATCAAATTCAAACTAGCAGGCAGAATCTTATCATAGAGGATCCTATAAATCTTCTCCCCCTTCTGATGTTATGTTATTGTCTCACTTTGTGTTCTTTTCTTTCTAAAGCCCTCTCACCAGAAATCTTTGCCAGAACGCAAAGGATATGGAAGAAGGTAAGAGAAATTATGGAATTATGGAGAGGCAACTGAGATTATCAAAACTCAGATCACAGGACTGAGCCAAACTGTAGATGTTACGAAATTGAGTAAGCCGCCATGTTGGCAAATTTGAGCCATTATAATGCGCTCAATATCTTTGTTCGAATCTGGTCAAAGTTGTCATATTGCTTCTGTCGCCTGTTTTCAGGACAGAAGCTAAATATTTATGTTTAGATTTAAATCTGAGATCAGCTGTCGATGGATAGAGCCCATTTTCCTTTAAATAGCTTTCAATGGTTTCTTCACCAGGAAATCGAATAATGGCCATTTGGGTTGTTTCGCAGATATCTAGGAGCATATCGTCAACAGCGTCAGCAAAAGCACTTCTCCCGTCAGGGAAAAACAAAGCAGTGGCTTTTTGCTTCAGTTCCCCAACTGTGGGAGGTTCCGACGCAGTATAAGCAACGAACTGGTTTCCGCCACCGTTCCTCTCAGTGACGAACTGGAACAAAACTCTCTGCCTGCTCGTCGTAATGAATCCAGCGAACTTGGATTCGATATTCTTTATCGGTCTTTCTTTTCTTCCCTCTTGACTGACCTCTGATGCGGTCGAACAATCCAGACAGTCGGCTTGCTGTTCGTTGGTTTGCTTCACGGGACGCTGCATTAGAACTCGTAGAGGCAAATTCAACGCGTTCGTTGTTGTTCTGACCCTGAAGTCTTATTTCCTCCCGTACAGTCTGCCTTATTATAGCATCCATCGTTTAAAACGCCAAGCACTGCCACACAACAACCTCGAACTGCCGGTTTTCCTAGTGTAGATGGGAATGAGATAAAACAACTGCCATTCGGAACATAAACAGACGAAGACAACACTTAACGCTTTCAACCGTGGGCATAAAACTGAAGTGTGTGGAATCGAAAGCTGAGCAAATAAAGTTCAAAATCGCCAAAACCGATCATTATGCCTCGTGGATTGTGATATAAAGTACGTTTATACAAACCTGATATAAAATGGTCCCTTCAAACTCTGTGAAATTCACTGGGATCAGCCCCTAGATCTTCTCTTCGGATCCTGGAGAGCCAAGTCGCTCTACGTTCGATGCTTAAAGCTCGCTTTTTAGCGTTCGATCGAAAATAACTTTTGTCCTTTTCTCTGTTAGAACGGCTTGAGCAACCAAATACAGCACAAAAGTTCACCATAAGGGGAAAAATCCAAATATAAATTCACTCCAGCTTCAAGCATGTGCTATTTGATTACAATTGCTTGTCCTCCAGTTCGCGAGGTCACGTGTCATGACGTCATACCTGAAAGGGGTCTATAAGACGAACGAGTGAACAACTTTACCGCCTTCCAAAATGGCGGGAAAAAACTTACGTGTCTCAGTTCCCGTATGTTAAGTTTCAGTCTGATTCGTCCAACCGAAAAATCAGAACTGAACTGTGAAAAATCAAAACTTAACTGTGAAAAATCAGAACTGAACTGTGAAAAATAAGAACTGAACTGTGAAAAATCACAACTGAACTGTGAATAATCAGAACTGAACTGTGAAAAATCAGAGCTGAACTGTGAAAAATTACAACTGAACTGTTTAAAAAATCAGAACTGAACTGTGAAAAATCACAAATGAACTGTGAAAAATCAGAACTGAACTGTGAAAAATCAAAACTGAACTGTGAAAAATTACAACTGAACTGTTTAAAAAATCAGAACTGAACTGTGAAAAATCAGAACTGAACCGTGAAAAATCACAATTGAACTGTGAAAAATCACAACTGAACTGTAAAAAAATCACAACTGAACTGTAAAATCAGAACTGAACTGTGAAAAATCAGAACTGAACTGTGAAAAATTAGAACTGAACTGTGAAAAATCAGAACTGAACTGTGAAAAATCACAACTGAACTGTGAAAAATCACAACTGAACTGTTTAAAAAATCACAACTGAACTGTGAAAAATCACAACTGAACTGTGAAAAATCACAACTGAACTGTGAAAAATTACAACTGAACTGTTTAAAAAATCAGAACTGAACTGTGAAAAATCAGAACTGAACTGTGAAAAATCAGAACTGAACTGTGAAAAATCACAACTGAACTGTGAAAAATTACAACTGAACTGTAAAAAATCAGAACTGAACTGTGAAAAATCAGAACTGAACTGTGAAAAATCAGAACTGAACTGTGAGGCATCTGGGCCATTGTATTCTGGGCCATTGTATTCTGGGCTATCGTATCTGGGCCATCGTACTAATGTGACTGTGGTCAGAATGAACGCCTGGGATTGGCTGAGCCAGTACCAGGTCGCTTAAGGGGCATGTTGTTTCGCGCGGCCTCAATATTTGCTGTTGTTTTATGAAATGTAGAGCCAGAAAAGCTCCTTTAAATTCGTCTGTTTGGAAGCCATATTTCTTTCCATGACGGGTCGACGTGATCATTAAATTTGAAATAAAAGGTTTTCGTTCAAATTTTGTACCTTTCGGGATGCCTGCGGTCACTTTTCATATTCCCACACAGATCAAAGATCTCATCGGCCCGTCATGGAAAGAGAAAAGGTTTGCAAACACACTTCTTTAAGAGAATTTTCGAAGCTCTTTTGGCTCTGCATCTTACACAACAACCATAAATATCGAGGCACCGCGAGGCAATTTGCCCCTTGAGCGACCTGGTACTGACACGGCAAATCCCAGCATTCATTTTGAGGCGGTGTTGGCGAAGTCGCGTATTATTATTAAACTGAAAACGAAACAGCTAAGTCGTGTCAGTGGCGCAACCTACCGTTTGGAATATTAAGCCTTGCCGCTACTTCAGTTAGGGAGGAAATATAGCTGCTGTTTACCTTAGGAGGAATCTTTTTGCAGAATCTGCAATTGAGGTTTGTAGTCGGAAATCAGCCATTTGATTTCACCTACGAGTGAAAACAGCATAACAAGTTCAAATGAAACTTAGTCGAAGAAAAGATTACCTTTCTTTAATGTTGGATGTTATAAATATTGATTGCTGTTTTTATATTCTTTGCACCTAGTTTAACAGATGCTTATTGAAGCTATGAACCACAGTTACGGGGTCTACCTCAAAACTTTCATGTTATCCTTCGATACCATGAAGAATCTCGTCGCCAAATATTTATCTGTACGACGTTGCCAAGACTTCAACGCATAAAGACAGAGTACTAACCTGAGCACAAGTGGAAAAATCAGTGTGATCCACAAATTCAGTCTTCAGAAATGGGTCAGTAGTTTTACACTCAGCCATAACTCGTTTGCGAGTTCCAAGTTAGGAATAAACTGTTATTTCCGGGTAAATAAACTTGCTAGAAAAGGTTATCGTATGGAAACGAAATTTTTTATGTTCATGTCTCTATGCTCTGTGTTGCTACCTAGACGCTGCTAGATATCCCCCGAGGCCGGTGCGAATTCTTTTTGCTCTGTTCTATATTCTGTATAATGATATTAGAGGAGATATATTTGATCTCAGTGAAACTGGTTAGCCTCTGTGTAAAGACAATATGTAAGGTATCTAAAATTCTATTCATTGCATTGTGTTGTATTTTTTTGTTACTTTTAGTACATACGAGTGTTAAGACACTTATTTTAAGCGATATTGCTCGAAGTCACAGTGAATTAATAATTTTCAACCCAAGAAATGATACCGCAGGGGACCTTTTCATGCGATGTTATTACGAGTAGCATTCTATATTTGTCTGTTTTGATCAAGAAAAATTTATTTACCTAACCGTGATAACATGAAGGTCGTGACATTAAACACATCCAACTCTCTCTAAGTAACTTAAAGATAACTCAAAAATCGCGGTGTAAATCACGGTAGTTCGATAGGCAGTTCGTCCTTGAAGCCTCTTAAGTCAGTCCACTGTATGAAAACATGGCTGCTTCTGAAGTAAACGTTTCAGGCTGTCGTAGGGTCAATGAAAGAAAGCCAGAGCCGTTTCTAAAATAGTGAAATTTCCGTCCCTAACGACTATGACTTTGAAACTATCTCATCCTCGGGTCTATAGTTATTGTTGGTTCGACTAGCGGAGGATGGTTAACTGAATCATAATTTTCCTCGATTAGTTTCGGTTTGACTCGTCGTGACATTTTGAACGGGAAGGTCCCTTGTATGAGGCGGAAGCCTATTGAACTTCATATCACGTGCTGATCATCAGTGTTCCGCAACATTAAAGAATAAAGTATCCACGTTTTCTAGCGTGATGAGAGCGTGATAATACTATACACAGATCAGATAGATGAGTGTCCTTCTGGTGGGTTCAATTCAAAACGCTTTGAAACTTCTATATTTGGTTATATTTCTTATAAAACGCAAATACGCTTTTGAAGTGACGTCATGCGTCAATAGTAGCAGTAGGGGAAATTAATTCTCAATTTTCTCAAACTTCACGCCGAAACAAATTACTGCACAAAGCAGGAAATGCTAAAGTGAAAACAAATGGTAAATTTTATATCAGATAGACTCCTTCAGGGGCTGTCGTTTGCTACTTTTACAAGCTTCCTCTTGTATTGCGTTACAAGCCGAAACGATGAAATAAACATCGAATTATTTAAGTTGTAATGTGTAACCAAAACCGTTGTTCTAACAATGCTTAGTTTAAGTAGTATTTTTTTTATATTCTTGTCTATGAAAAAAAAAAAAAAAAAAAAAAAATTGCCAACGGTCAAATGTTTTAAGACTCTAACATAAGCTCATTGTAATACTATCAGATTTCTCCAAAAACAATAACACGCTCGACCCGACTCTTATGATGACTGAAAATCTTATCCACGATCACCGACTGCCTGAGTTGATTGGGCCAGTAAAGTGGAGAGACCTAGCACGAGTGTTGGGCTTCAACGAAACTGCCATTGAAGGAATCCAAATTGAAAAGGAAAGGTGCCCCAAAGAATGTTGTATTGCGGTCCTAGCAAGGTGGATCCATCGAAAGGGACGAGACGCAACAGTTGGAAAGCTCGCAAAGGCCTTGATTAAGATAGAACTTAAGAACGTGGCTGACATATTACTGGGTGGGTACAACATTGCTTACTGTTCAGTATTTTCTAAAAGTTCAGTTACTGCAAGAATGTATCAGGGCAATTCCTTGTAAAAGTATTTGTAAGTACTAAAAAGTGGCACACAAAAATCTAATTATATATTTAATATCTATTTTCATCATAAAAACGTAACTTAGTTGAGACTGATATTTATTGCTCAGGGTATTGCTGGGACTTTGAGGCCAGGTAAAATATTGCAAAAAACTCGTTGATTCCTCGACGTGACTGTGCGTGTTTCAAAGTGGTGATTTTCGTTGAATTTAACTTCGGATATCCAGCAGTTTTCCAGTGCATTCATTTTCGTGAAATGATGGCGGACTGTAGGACTTATTTTAAAAACACTTGACCTAACAAAATGATACAAATAGCGCCCGTTCCTCTCTAGCCTGCGTACAGACGCTAGATAATTCTCCGAATACTCGCGTCTGTGGTTTACCGGCCGATTTCCTGTTCTCTGTGACCAAATATCTAATGCGATTTTTGATTGGTTCTTGAAAAAACCGTTTCTAACGCGAACTCTGATTGGACAACGACTCGGTGCAGTCTTTTCCGGTTGCAATGTTTTGGTTTGGTACACGTGAGTTTGACAGCGAGCACAAGGTGAGAGATTTTATGTGTGAGAATAGATAGAGATGAAATTCTCGTGTGATTTGTGCGAAGAAACTGAGCTCAAACCGGGAAATAGGTTCCGTATAAGAGGAAGATGTGAGTCCGAGATAATTCCATTGTTCGAAAAGCTTTCTAAAACGCGAGTTACGGACTATATCTGCCGACGATGCTTCCAACTTACAAAGAAAGCAGTACGTTTGATTAAAGACATCACTCTGATCGAAGACGGCTTTGAAAATCTTGCACACGATCAAAATTACGATAGCTTAACTTGCAAACTGTGCACTGAAAAAAATCTAACACCCCAAGAAAGATATCTTATTCTCGGGATAGGTCGAGTTGATATTTTAGCAGAGTTAGGAAGTCTACCTCGCGCTAGACGAACAGATTATGTTTGCCGCAAATGTTTTAGTAAACTCAAGAAAAGAAGGCAACTTATTAACGACCTTGATGACCTCGAAGCTAACTTTCGAAACCTACAAGCGTTAGCAGAAGCTGCTAGATGAGCAAAAGAACCCAAAACACCGACAAAAAAGTCAAATGCAGTGGAAATCGCCCCATCTGTCTCTACTCCGGTGCGACTTAACGCGGAGACCAACGCGAGTCCCTCGGCCGACTCGGCCGGATTACGGCTAGTATTCGGAGAATCATCTAGCGTCTGTACGCAAGCTATCTTCGATCAGAGTGATGTCTTTAATCAGACGTACTGCTTTCTTTGTAAGTTGGAAGCATCGTCGGCAGATATAGTCCGTAACTGGCGTTTTAGAAAGCTTTTCGAACACTGGAATTATCTCGGACTCACATCTTCCTCTTATACGGAACCTATTTTCCGGTTTGAGATCAGTTTCTTCGGACAAATCACACGAGAAATTCATCTCTATCTATTCTCACACATAAAATCTCTCACCTTGTAATCGCTGTCAAACTCACTTGTACCAACCAAAACATTGCAACCGGAAAAGACTGCACCGAGTCGTTGTCCAAGCAGAGTTCGCGTAAGAAACGGTTTTTTCAAGAACCAATCAAAAATCGCATTAGATAATTGGTCACAGAGAACAGGAAATCGACCGGTAAACCACAGACGCTAGTATTCATAGCCCTTATTAGCCCTCATTATAATTTAAGGCACCAAAGAACGTAAAATGTACCAGCAGCCAAGACAAAGCGTTTTGCTAATTCGTTTTTCGTGAAGGGTGCGGCTGTAGAGAACTTTTAATAGAACTTTAAGTCATCACATTTTATATTTGTATAGTAGTAGTTTGTAAAAAAATTGTGCAATTCAGTATTTTACTGCGATGTGATTTTAATAAACCAGTCTATCTATCTATCTATCTATCTATCTGTCTATCTATCTATCTCAGTATCTATCTATCTATCTATCTATCTATCTATCTCTATCTATTCGGAGAATTATCTAGCGTCTGTACGCAGGCTAGTTCGTCTCTGGTGGTGTTTTGGAAAAGTGTACAGCGAAGTGCACTCGACATAAATGGGGGATCTTTTAGATTAACCATAGTACTTGCGTCCGAATACCAGATAGGGTTTTTCGATCATTCTCTTCAAGACTTTTTATCTCTGATAAATTCAAACATGTACAAAATGCACGATCCGCTATTTATGTATTCTTGGACAATTACAGAATGGGATATTCATAAACTTACTTTGGCTGAAAATGGCTTGTCTTAGGTCCGATCAATGATAGAAGAACCATCTCTATTGAAGTTAGAGGGACGATCAAGGTAGACGATGCAAACCAGGTGAGCTCGTTATTCACTGAGAGCATTTGAACGTTACCTACTGAACTGTTTTCAGAAGCCTAGTTTTGGTTTCTCAATATCAACGGCGCACGTTTTTCTTCCTTGAATTAGATCATAATGGGCAACGACACTACTGGAAGGTCAACGTTTTTTGTGTGGGAAACCAAAACAAAAGAATTTTATACATCTTTGAAGGTAACTATTTACATTTATAGTTACACTTATAGTAGACAATTGACTAAATGGGCAACTGACTATTTCAACCCCTTATCGTGGTATAACTTTTGAAAGAATATACTAAAGATCGAAGCAAAACTGCACCGTAATCATTTTAGATCTGAATCATGAAACGTTTTCTCAAATTCATTCTCAAATGATTTTCTGGAAGAAGTGGGTAATGATAAACAAAATTTAAAATGCCATTGCTGCTAAACTTAACAATGCTGTCTTCCATTTATTTCTGTAACAGCCCTGAAATATTTTAGGGGAGTTACCCAAGTTTGTATCTCGCAAAGTGCACATTTCAAGCAATATCTTCTTAATATATGAAATACACGTTAAGATTTTAAATGGATACATGATGTGATTGTACAAATTTGATTCTCCTTTCAGGAAATCAAAGACTATATAAATACTATCGACCTGTTCATAGGAAATATACCCAAGGAAACGGAACAAGTCGTGGTTGAAGATCTTACCAGCAAAGTTGACCAAATTTCCGAGAACTTAGAAAAACTTCAAAAGACACTTTCAGACATAAAATCCAGTTTGAACATGCCTGAGTTGAAAGAAGACGCCTTAACCATGCGAGGAAAGTTGGACTTCATTGGAAGACAGAGCAGAACACTGGAGGAAGTGTACTCTGAAGTAACAAGAATGACAAGCCAAGCTTGCACATGCGACGAGTTCGTCAGGAGAAAGTTTTATGACTTTACCTATTACAACTTAAAAACCGTGCATACTGATCTGAACGCTCGTATTGCGGACCTGAAGTCGGCGGACACAAGCTTTACAAAGGAAGAAAATGAAAAGCTTCAAATTCTGCTGGCTGACCAAGAAGGAAGAGAAAAACAGGTTGAAGATTTGGAAGCAGCGCGGACACTGCTATTCTCCGCTTTTCTCGGCTCCTCCGTATGTAAATTTACCCGCATGGTTGATGTTGTTTTTGTTGTTTTTTGTTTGCTTCTGGCTAAAAGCCATTCTTCCTTCGTGCCAGCGTGTTTACGGTAAAAAAATCTATTTCCAGCCTACTTTTAGAATCCTGCTGGCTTCGATATAGGAAGAAGAAAATCCCATAGCAAGTTATCAAACAGTGAAATATGAGGCATTTTCAAACTACTCCAATAACCCTGGTAAAAGAAGAAAAAGACCGGTTCCAACAATTAGGAGTGAGATATAGGAGCAAAGATTTAGAGTATTGACGGGAGAATCCTAGTCTTTGGTAAAAACCCACCACTAAACAACTCTTATTTTTATTTTGATTGCAGGCTAAGGCGGAACCTGGGATATCTCAATAATCAACACCTTAGAGACGAAAAACTGCGCCATCTATTCCAGTGCAGGTAAATTTTAGAGAATAACAAAGTTTTCGGCAAAGGTATATATCTATGTGCATTGTGTCCTTCTCGTTAGGCTGTGAAGTAAACTGTTGAGAAAGGGGTTAATTGATGGGAGAGCTCAAGGGAAGCACGACACTGGACAGGTTTATAGGAAATGACTCCTTCAACTTTAAGTATTCAATTAATAACCTTGCGATAAACTTCTTGTAATTATTTCGACATTTTTTCTTTCAGATACCAAGAGTAGATACAGACGCAGTGTTGTCGAAGAAATCCATCAAGGTTTGGTCTAGTTTTAATCGCACAATACTCACTTTTTATGTTGAACATTGTTCAAAGAGGCCAACAAACCGTTAACGTAAAGATATTTTTCTCCCTTATGTCCTCATGATTCAAAGATTTTTTATTGGTGCTTCTAATGGACGCCTTGTACTTGTTCTAGCCGGGTTAAGTCTTGTAGCGCTTCAACATTAGTGTCCTGTACATACCATGCGGCATAGGACTCCTTTTAAGTCATTTTTAGCTGAGCTAGTTCTCTAAATTGAAAGACCAGCGAGGCTCATTTATAATCAACTGGTCGTTTAAGTCTTTTAAGCCCTGTGATGCGTTATAATTGTAAACTTTCTGTTGCAGATCAAAAGGACTAAATCATGGAGTATTTTTAGAAACAGGGGGAAAAGCAGTGAAAATACGTGCAATCTTGTTTCTTACTCTCAAAAGGCTCTGGAGGATTCCTAACTTCAAAAGAAGGTCTTAAGCAAAATTCGAAGGTTACATGTCGTTATGCATTATTCTATCGAAACCATGTACACGTTTTTTGCTCAACGAAAAGCATGTTTCATGTCTAGAAAACTCTCTTTAGAACTTGAGATAGCTAAGTAGTTTAAATTAAGAAAACAAAAAGTAAATCAGGTATGCAAAACGGAATCTCTACCATCTTTGCGTAGGCTATTTCTGGTATATATCTTGTTGGTAGTTAAGCACGCAAGGTCTGCAAGCTTCTCTTAAGGAAATGAGTTATAATCATTCATCTTTTCATGATGTAAAAGGAAGAATTATAAACATAGTATAGGTGCGTTGTTTTGTTGCTCATTATTGAATGCTATATCATTCACATTGATATTGTTTTTGTTTATGTTGCTTGCTTTTTAATTAATTCGCTATTTTTAATACAAGATAAATAGATAGATAGATAGATAGATAGATAGATGGATAGATGGATAGATGGATAGATACTTTATCAAAGTGCCACACCTTCCAGCTTGAAAAAATCCCATACTAACTTGTGGACAAAAAATGAATAGACAAAGAAAAACATATTGGGTAATATTCAAAACTATGTAAGAGGTCTAATTATAATATAATATTAATTATGCTGATCTAGTAGGTTAGTAATAGCCGATCATGACTTGATTATTCACTAAAAAATGTATAAATTTTACATAAGTGATAAAAGTTGATAAAATTATGTTCATTAAGGTGGCTGAACACAGATTTTCGCGCGCGCCTTTGCTGATGCAATTCAGCGCGCGCACATGGATTGTAAAAAACAAACATGCACAACCGATATGTACATGAAAGCTTATTGGGCGTGTGTTAGAGTTAATGAATAAGTATAACATAAGAAACATAGTGGAAAATTAAAAAGAGAAAAAAAAAAGAAAAAAATCGGAAAATTAATGACTTTCATCAAAACTGTTGTTTGGGAAACAAGTTTTAGCCTCAGTAGTGCTGTTTGAAAGCAAAACATGAACGTGAAACTTTAACACTGCGCTGGAAAGTCGATGACAGTATTCTTTCAAAGTCTCCTCAGGAGCATGAGGATAAGCCAATGAGAATGCGTGGAATCTTTTTTCTCATTCTCAAAGGGTTCTGGAAGGTTCTTTACTCCTGATGATGTGGGTCACAAGTTACCGCCTCCCGGTTAGCTCAATGGATAGAGCGCTGGACTGATGTGCGGGAGGTCGAGGGTTTCGAGCCCCGGCCGGACCAACACTCAGGGTCTTAAAATAATTGAGAAGAATATGCTGCCTTTCTATAACATCCAGAAATGGTTTAGATATTCTAGTCTTCTCGGATAGGGACGAATATATGGAGGTCCCGTCTCCTGCAGGGTTAGGGGTAGGAGACGTTAATTTCCCACGCACGAGATTATTGTGTGATGGATGTCCTCCCCTGGGGTGGTATGGGTGGGTTGTTGTCTTGCGTTTCATACGTGAGCCTCTGGCTCGGGAAATATGAGTAACCATGCCCCACGTAAAGACATTAAACTTTGATTACTATTACTATCACTATGTTGCATTCTATAAACAAACTTGTTTTTCCCGAGGGACATTTTTCATGTCCAGAGAAGGCCCTATAGGACTCGAAGCATGTACGTTGTTGAAATAAAATTAATTTCAGTTGAGTATAAGTTTTCTGTTAAAAGTTGAGATTCTATCCTTTCCACTAAAGAGAACATTTCTGATGTTTCTTGTTTGGTGGTTAACAATACATGGTCCGCAGGAGACTTAAAGGAAATTATAAATGTAAGAATTTTCTCTTTTAGAGTACAATAGGAATCATAAGTAGAGTGTAAGTTTATTGTTTTGTTGGTTATGGGCAGACAGTAAAATGCGATTGTGAGTAAAAAAATTAAGTGTTAGTTGGAAATTGAAAAAAAAAAACATATATAAAAAAACAAAAAATCAAAACAACGGTGAAAACTAAAGAACGGTCCCTTGCTCGTTATTTAATTGTGGCCGTAATTAATTAATAAAGAGATCTCGCTGGATAATGATTACTTGTAGTTGGCGTTGTGACTGTTTTTCATAGTTATTTAGAATGCGAAAACAGTTAAGCTGATACATTAGTGATCTCTACGTGATAATTTTGGATAAAACATGAATTATCATAAGTTATTTTAAGAGTTACTTTGCAATCAAACTCGTTAAGCTGGGTTTAGTTGACAATTTGCGGTTGCTTTATAATCATCTCTCTGAATTTTGAAATAAACTAAGAGAAACGAGCATTTGACAAGTATTACTCGCTTTTGTCCCGCTTAAGTTACCCCCAGCATTTGTCAAATTTCGCCGACGGTTCGCTGGTACCCTTTCCCAGAGGTATTGAGGGAATAAAGCGCCTTGCCCAAAAACTCGTCACGATGACTTGGCAAAGTCTCGAACCAGGACTTCTCGACCCGGGATCTAACGAGCTGACATGACGAGCTTTATACGACTTTGAATTTCTTGACCCCTACCGATTTTGCGCTATTGAATAGCGCAAAGTCAGGAGGGGGTCTAGTTTTTCTTCACGTAGCATCTCTGCGGGCCAAAAGTTTAATGAAGGATTTTCACAAGAAAGGTGTTGAGAAGTGAGGTTCGGCACATGGCTATCTATCAACAGATTTAATTTGACACGTCAGTCTAGACAACATTATGAGGTAAGTATCGAGTGCGCACTGTACATCACAAAATGTAGAAAATGCATCTTCTCAACGTGAAAAAAAATTACGAAACAAACGCCCATATTGAAGTGTGCGTCGTTTCCTTTATGTTGAGCCAAGCAGGAGCACTTTTAGTAAAGAAAACTTTGAGAAAAAGTAAGGAAAAGTAAGCTACCGCTTCTCCCAACGTAATATATAGATTTAGCTAAGCCTAAAGGCGGAGCTCCCAATAAGTGAAAATTTTGCAATAAAATTTCTTTACACATATTAAAAATTTTTAGTAAAAAATTCATTCAGTAGAGATTAAACCCATTGACACTTACGTGTAACACGTGCCTGTGAAAAGTCAAAATTTTGGAGAAACCAAGAAAGCAAACACAATGCGCAGTAAATTTTTAAAAATCATCTTTTCCAAAGAACAAGCTCCAGTGAAAGGAGACTAATTAAAGAACTTATTTCGGACGAAAAAAGCGATAGGTAGATATTACGTTTTAACTCAAAAATCAATATGAAAGATAAAAAGCGCTAAATATTTTCGCATGTGTGCAAATGGGCATGTGGATCATATATCAAAATGGAATATGCGAGTTTGTCCGTGAGTGAAGAGATCTCAAGTTCCATGGAATCTATCAGTAGGAAGCAAGACTAAAATGGCCAAGAAATATTTCAGGACGACAGATTTATTGAAAACAATTTTTGATTTGCTGTTATAAGCGAAAAACGTACGAATTTCTTACGTGTACAAAGCCCACGCGGTAAAATTCATTATGCTTAGATCGTTGTTTACTTGCCTTCAAGGCCAGAAATTGCGCAGCGTTATGTTGAAAATTCTGAAAAAACTTCGATTTGACGTAAAATATTCTATTAAACAATATTTTTTAACACATTTTTACTCGAACATAATATTTACCGGGCCATCGAATCGTCAAATTGTCGCTAGGCCCTGCTTGTAGTCCGAAAGTTCGATTTTCACCTTACGTCCATAATTCGCGTCGCCTTAGAGAATCGTAGTGTCGTTGACTCGAGAGCTGATTCTGTCACCTTTAAGACCTTGATATCCATTCTTTTCCAAGCAGAGTATTCTATAGCATTGTTACTTTACATTCTGAGTTCCACAAGGTCTAACTCGATCGCAAATGAACGAAAA